TTATTGGGAATGTTGAGATTTAGTAGGAGAGTTGTGCAAAAGCAGTAGAAATAGTGCTGTATTCAGAAGTCCTTTGCCAGACTATGATAATGGGCATGTTACCGAAGTTCTCAATAGCCTCACAGTTTTTAAATTGTCAAATGGGGATAGACCAGTGGTTCTCAACCTTGGCTGCACATTAGAATCACCTGGGAATCTTTTTTAAAATCCTGATTTCTGGGCCTCATCCTCTGGAAATTCTGTTTCTTTGTTACTAATGTTGTGGCCCCACCCCATAAAAAAGAAACAGAATTTCTGGAGGATGAGGCACAGAAATCAGGTTTTTAAAAAGATTCCCAGGTGATTCTAATGTGCAGCCAAGATTGAGAACCACTGACCTATTTCAATAATTTCTTAACATCACCTATTCATTATCCAAATTTCCCTTATTGTCTTAAAATATCTTTTTACAGTTGGTTTGCTTGAATATTATCTAGTATTCTGTGCTCCAGCAACACTGAACTGCTTGTCACTTCCCTAAATTTCATATACCTTTGCCTGGAATGCCTGCCATTGCTACCTGGCACAAGATCACCTTGGGTGTCATTGCCTGCTTGTAGCCTTCATGATTGCTCCAGTCTAGATGGCCTGTCCCTCTTGTGTGTCGCATAATGCCATTGCTTTGTCTTAGTACATAGTTCCACCATTCTATAGGTATGTATTAAGAATTACAGGTGCCAGGTACCATACCAGGCAGGCATTAGGGATACAGCAATCCAACTGCCAAAGCTCCCACACTCCCAGTGAGTGTGTGTGTGTGTGTGTGTAGGAATCAATAAACATGAGTAAAATAATGCTAAATGGTATATAAATAAGTGATATTTTGGAATTTAGAGGGCAGGGTAGCTACTTTTAAATGGGATGGCCAGGGTATTTTACTGAGGTAATGACATTGCAGCTGAGAACTGAATGAAAAGGAGCCCGTCTGAGGAAGATCTGGGCATTCCAGGCAGAAGAACTTTTATATACAGAGACCCTAAAGTGAAGGGCCATGTCTTAGCAGGCTCCATTTATGTCGGTCTTTACCTCTACATCTGTAGATCTCATCCTTTTGGGGATTATGAAAACTCCTTTGAGTGTTGAGAATCTGATAATAGCTCTGGCTCCTTGGCCCAGAAAAATGTACATATGCACTGTCACACAAATTTGCATACCAGTTCTCTAGTTCCTGATGCCTGCCCAGACTGGGTTCACATTTACCACAGGAACAGTGTCTAATACTGATATCTAATATGTGCCTTCCTTCGTTATCTCTTTGACCCCTTGAAAGTATTCTATGAGGTAGGTATAGGTATTATCCCCATTTGATAGATGAGACTAAGGCTCAGAGAGAGTGAGTTACTTGGCCAACATCACATAGCTAGTCAGTGACAGGGAGGGGATTTAAACCCAGGCAGTCTGAGGCCGAAGTGCCTATGCTGCATTCATGCCAAGACTGCTGGTCAGCTTGGGGCCCAGCACTGAGCAGGAGGTTTGGGGACTTGTTCTTGGCAAAGGCAGGGGGAGGAGGAGCTGTTGGAAATTTCTGTGTACTAGTTTAGAGATGTCAAAGCCTGCTTGGTCTGAAGACTAGTTTGCTTTCCTTCCTTCTCTTCCTCCTCCCTGTCCTCCTCTTCTTTCTCCTTCTTCCTTTTTTGTTGAATGACAATATTTGATTTTCTTATAAAGAAGTCTTTCAGCCTTAGAAAGAGTCTTTTAAATATAGAATTGGAAATATACTGCTCTCTCTGTGACAGTAGAGGCAGATCCACTCCTCCAAAGGGGAACTGGCTTGGGATTTTTCCATTGGCTTTTAAAAAATTATTTATTTTTTGGACTAGGTAATATATTCACATGGTTCAAAAATCAAAAGGTACAAAAAGGAACATAGAGCAAATCTCCCTTACACTCCTGCCACCTGCCACCTGGTTCCCCTGCCTGGAGGCAACTGAGTTGCCCCAGTTTCTTGTGTATCTCTCCAAAGATGTGTGTATGTATGTACGTGTGTGTGTGTGTGTGTGTGTGTAT